TTCTATGCTAACAGTTTCTTTTCTTGCATTTTTCACTCATGGAAATCTCTTCTGGGTCCATGCTTCCTGACCAACTTTGATCTGCAATTGCAATAACAATCGTTATCTACCGTCATCTTGATAACTCTTCTGTTGTTCTCGCTACTTAGTAATGTTTCTGTTTTCTAATTCTTTCACATTTAGTAAACCCTTGTGTCTTACTTCCTTGCATGGGGTAAATTTGATTTATATATATATATATATATATATATATATATATATATATATATATATATATATATACACACACACAGATACATTGATAGGGTATTGGATGAGCTTGAAAATATTTCTCCTGTTCATGTAAATTTAATAAAGGTTGTATGTATATATATAATTATTTATTTAAAATTCGCGACATAAGAGGTCTCATGTTTGGCTCTTGTTTTGAAACATGAGACCTCTTATGTCACGAGTTGGAATCATATTTTTAAATAAATAATTATATTTATGCTCTACTTTTGTATCGAGCACTATTTTTTAAAATAATAACTAAAATACTAAGGAACTTTGGATTATTTACCTAACCAGTTCCTTCCTATTTTCTATATATTTTCACATATATATATATATATATATATATATATATATATATATATATATATATATATACAGAGAGAGAGAGAGAGAGAGAGAGAGAGAGATTCATTGATAGGGTATTGGAGGAGCTTGAAAATATTTCTCTTGTTCATGTAAATATTGTAAAAATTCTGAATGCTCTTAAGTAGAATCTGATGATTATTCTGGATTTTATTTTGATAGGATGGGAATAGAAATTTATGAAATAGTTATTATTTGATTTTCAGTGGACACTAAGTTTTAAGTTATTGTTAACATGGTGTATCTAGGAAAGGTAAAGTATTTATTTTTTCTGATTTTGTATGTAAATTCTATTGTATGTTTGACTTTGTTTAGTTTATTTATGGCCATGAGTTCAATCTCTGAATACTCAGACAGTGGTATATAAAATCTCTTTGAGAATAATGCACATTTGTCAGTTCTCTCTTTTAGCCATCCAGGTCATTCCTTCCATTCATCCTGGGTATGACGATGAACTACATCTGGCAGCAAGACCTCTAATTGGGAGAGTGAAGGCTTTAAGCAGCATGGAATCTCCACTTAATTGCTGTTGTTCTCAGGTCCACCCTGACCTGAGGTGGTAGCACTGTTAGGTTCCCATCTATGGGCAAATAGCGAACACCCGAACTGTGGTCAAAATGCTATGAAAGTATAAAGATACATTATTATATTAGGTTGGTGCAAAAATAATGACGTAATAATGTCGTTTTTTGACGTATTTTTTAACGTCAAAAAACGACATTATTACGTCATTATTTTTGCACCAACCTAATAGTAGAAAAATTCCAGTCGTAGATTTTAATACTGAAAAAAATCCAGCAATAGATTTTAATAGTAAAAAAAATCCAACCATAGATTTTAATAGTGAAAAAAAAAAACAAACCTAGCAATAGATTTTTAATAGTAAAATAAAATTTCATCAATGCATTTTAATAGTAAAAAAAATTCCAGTAATAGATTTTAATAGTAAAAAGCCAAAATTGCAGCCATAGAATCTAATATTAAAAAAAATCAGCAATGGACTTTAATAGAAAAAAATTCCAGCAACTGATTTTAATAGTAAAAAGCAATTCCTGCAATAGATTTTAATAGTAATCCTGCGATAGATTTTAATAGTAAAAAACAAAATTCCAGCCATAGATATTAATATTAAAAAAAATACCAGCAATTGATTTTAATAGAAAAAAGTCCAGCAGTAGATTTTAATAGTAAAAATTTCTAGCAATAGATTTTAATCATAAAAATAAAATTTCAGCATTAAATTTTAATAGTAAAAAACCCATCAATAGATGTTTGCAGTAAAAAAAATTCTAGCAATAGATTTTAAAATTAAAAAATTCTAGCAATAGATTTTAATATTAATAAAAAATTCTAGCAATAGATTTTAAAATTCTAGCAATAAATTTTAATATTAATAAAAAATTCTAGCAATAGATTTTAAAATTCTAGCAATAAATTTTAATATTAATAAAAAATTCTAGCAATAAATTTTAATATTAATAAAAAATTCTAGCAATAGATTTTAATAGTAAAAAAATAAAATTCCAGTAATAGTAAAAAAAAAGTTGTCAAAGTGATATAATGGAATATGCATACACCTGAGTTTCCCCTCACTGGAATATGATTGGCTGGTGTCCATCATAAATACAGATGGACGTGTAGGTATGACAGAGTTTAAGTCTATGACGACGCCCATTGGACTATGCCATTGGCTATCCTATTGGTCTACACCTATTACCTGCGACTACGACGAGCACCGGTCGATTACTGCTACCATGTACTACTTGGTTACTGTAGCCAAAACCACTTAGCTACTTCGATCAAATATATCCCTTTCTGGGACATATCACAAAGCCCACAAGAAACTTAAATTTTGGTATGAAATGACCCATAAGGAGTTGATATGCCATTAAACAAATGAAACTAAACTAAACCAAACCAAACCCTTCCTTCCATTATGTTAGTATATCACAGGTATACTAATGACGTTAGTATATCACAGGTATACTAATGCTTATAATGGGGGCTATTAAAAACATTCTCTGTTTTTTAACACCTCTAATAGTGTCGTCTCATCTTCAACGCCGGCATGTGTAGGCCAAGAATTGAGCTAAAGGAGTTCCCCCAGAGACTAAATAGCATCACTGTAAAGATTGTATCAGTCGAAGCAGTATATGGAGGAGAAGTAAATGAAGACAAGGCATGAATTTCAAAAAAAAGTGATTGTTAATAATATTAACCCTGTGTTAGTCACCTCAGATTTATGAAAATGGATAGTCCACCATTGTCAGCCTGCCATAACAACTAAGCTACAATTGTGCTACACCATGTGCTACACCGTGTGCTACACATCCCCACTGAGTTAGGGTAGTGGTAGGACAGAGCACAAGAAACAAGTTGCCAACTAGGAATTAGGGGTACTTTAAAAAAAATTGGGGGTAACAAAACACCCCATGTGACTAATGCAGGGTTAAGCATTTAACATTTAAATAATTGAAAATTTAACAAGCTATATTAATAAAAATAATCTGATTCTCTGTTAATCATACACTGTGTAGGACTTTGCACAAGCATATGTAAAACATGTACATATGTCTGTATTTTGTGTGAATGATTTACACATGGTTGTACCATTTAATGTACACACAAACAATTGAATGAAACTGTAAGAGACGTATCTATCACGAGGGCCAATTTCCTTTTATGCCTGATAAAAACTACTGGAAAAGGGTATAAGCTGAAATGTGTGGCTCCTTTGAGGGCATTTTTATGACACCTGTATTAAAACTGAATATATATTTATCATTAACTAGCAGTAGAGCCTGGCATTGCCCGGGGATGTAACAGTAAGATATAGATCAAGTATCGACCATCATAAAGACTGAAAAATAAAATTGACAAAGATTATTGTTTAAGGTTGACGGACACGCATGTCTTAATTAGTCTTTTTTTTTGTTTTATTTTTATTTTTATTTTTTTTACGAATTGGTCAAACCCAAACTCAAACAAAAACATTGTTTTCAATCATCATGAGTCTACCGATTGAATAGAATTTTTCAATTTCATTATAAACAATTGTCTTGTAAATGGAATTTTTAAAGCATTCTGAATGTAAAAATAAAGAAAAAAGTGTGCAAGACAATAAGAAACACTACCTGCCAAAAAAAAAGTGAAGTTTTGTTGAAATCGTTTGAAAAATGTAGGAAATCTGATCCCATATATAAACGAACACACACACAACCTGGGTTTTATAATAAGTATAACTCGATATGAGTTGTCCCCCTTTCATTCTCGAAACAGCGATGCCTCTTAATCGTGTTTTCAAATTGATTTCGTGCAAAAACAATTGCGTTTTTCCAATTTTTGGCACTGTCAGAACCACCGCAAAGTAATTTTACGTAGTCCTGTGAAGTTTTGTTGAAATCGGTTGAAAAATGTAGGAAATCCGATCCAATATATAAACGAACAGACACCCACCCCATACACACAATCTGGGTTTTTTAATAAGTATGATGATGTAGTATTTTAAATGTGCAAACTGTCTGCACTTTCCAATCTGTTAAATGTAGTCGCCCCTTCTACTCCAATAGCTTCATATCTCGCACCTCTCGCCTGTAGAACTTCCTTCCCTTTTCCTGATAGCTATAATCTCCAACTATTCAAATGCAATGTCAATCGACCTCTCCAGTTGTCTTGATCTATCCACTCTCCTTCTCCTCATCCTTTCCTCTATCATTCCTATCTGCTCTCGCTCCAAATCCTCTATAACTCCTTGCGTACTAGTGGCTTCCCGTCTTGCTAGGGGTGAAATGCCCCCAAAAAATCTTGATAGAGTTCAAAAGCATCTTTGAATTCTTGTGGGTGACAAATTATTTTCTACCCTCTAACCTCTCTCCTCTCACAGGTGGGATGTGGTGAGTCTCTTGTTGCTCTATTGCTACTTCATGACTAAGACCTGACATACCACTTATATAGTAGCAAACCACCAACATTCACTCAGTGTTCCACCAGTGAGAAGTCCAGCTCAAGCAGATTCTTCCTACAAACAACTGCTCTGTGGAACCGACTCCCAAGAGGATGTTTCCCTGATCACTACAATCTTAACC